AGCTGGCTTGACTGGGGCTGGAGAATCTATTTCCAAGATGGCTCACCACATGGCTGGCAGCTGAGCTGTTACCCAGGGTTCATAGCTCCTCTCTGTGTGAACCTATGTGGCTGCTTGGGCTTCCTCATAGCATGCAGGCGAGGTTCCAAGAGTGTGTATTCTAGAAGACAAGAGGTCGAGGCTACCAATCACCTAAGACCTTGGTCCCAGAAACTAGCATGATGTCATTTCTGTAATATTTATTTTATTGCTTGGGAAGTCAGAGTTCTCCTAGATTCAAGAAGTAATACAGACCATACCACTCTCTGGGAGAAGTACCAAAGAATTTGCAGTCATGTTTAATCTACCACAAAGATGAGATACAGATCTTAGTTACCACACCATATTGTATCTCTGCTAGTATTACACCAGATGCATTTCTCAATCACTGCATTTATTTATTTGGTAGTGACTAGACTGTGAGCTCCTTGAGGGCAGGGATCATGTCTTATGCATCTCAGGGTAAACAAAATGCCATATAAGCATAGTATATGCTCCATAAATGCTCAAGGAAGGAACGAAAGAGAGCTGAGTTCCAGCCCTGGCTCCTGCTTTGAAGTAGCTCTGTTAGTCTGAACAGGATGCTGAACTACTCTGGGCCTTGGTCCTGTCTCCGTAATATGAGGAGATGACATTATCAGAGGATGCTTTTAGTCTCTCTCTTTTCTTTCCCCCTAGCACCACCATTGTGTTAGTCAGCTCCAGCTGCTATAACAAAATATGATAAACTGAGCGGTTTAAACAACAGACATTTATTTTTCACAGTTCTGGAAGCTGGGAAGTCCAAGATCCAGGCACTGGCCAATTTACTTCCTGATGAGCACCCTTCCCGGGCTTGCAGATGGCCATCTTTTTCCTGTGTCCTCACATGGTGGGAAAGGAGAGGTAGGGAGAGGGAGAGAAAGAGAAAGGAGAGAGACACTAATCCCATCATGAGGGCTTCACCCTCACCACCTCATGTAAACTTAATTACACCCAAAGGCCCCACCTCCTGATACCATCACATTGGGAGTTAGGGCTTTAACATAGGAATATTGGGGGCACACAAGCATTTAATCCATAACAACCACTTTACTAATCTACTCAAAATAATGATTTTAAAAATAAAGAGAGCTTGGACACAGTTCTCAAATGTGGGGAGTCTGGGAATCAAGAAATCTGAGTGAGAGAAAAGCAAAGAGCAGAGGAAATGGGCTCGTTCTGCCAACAAGCACAAAGGACTCTAAAGACAAGAGGGTGAAATTAGGTTCCGATACAAATACGTAAATCATAGTGCTTGGAATAAAAAGAAAGGAAGTTGAAGGAGGCTTTTTAAAAGGTTGAAGACACTGGACTGGGGACTGTTTGGCCACAGGGTAGCAGAAAGCAGTAAATCAAAGGAAACTCCAGGTTTTGTGCCTGAGTGATTAGGGAGTGCACATTTATCTAACATCAGCAGTAGTTCCCAACTCTGACTACATGGAGCAGTCCCTGGAGAGCTCTGAAAAAATATTGATGCCTGGGCCCTTCTCAAGATCACTCAATTCAGAATTTCTGTTCTGAATTGTTCTGTTTTAATGTTCCAGAGATGGAGCTTGGAACATTAATATTTTTTTTGGAGGCCCCCTGGTGATTCCACTGTGCAGCCAGGGTTGACAGTATCTTACCTAGAGTTAAAGTCACTAGATTTCTGCCTGCTCTGAAATCATAAAAATCGGAGGATCAAAAGCTGACAGCTACCAAATAATTTCACGTATGGTTTGTGTTGTGTACAGAAAAATGACCTCTCAAAGACGTCTACAACGTAATCCTTAGAACCTATGGTATGTTAGGTTGCATGGCAAAGAAAATTAAGTTTTTGGAGGAAATTAAGGTTGCTAATGAACTGACCTTAAAATGGAGAGATTATCCTGGATTAACCAGATAGGCCCAGTGTAAACACAAGGGCCTAAAAAATCGAACGGGAGGTTAGAAGAACAGTCAGAGAAATGCAGTGTTGCTGACTTTGAAGGTGGAGTAAGGCTGGGTGCAGTGGCTCATGCCTGTAATCCCAGCACTTTGAGAGGCTGAGGCAGGGGGATCATTTGAGATCTGGAGTTTGAGACCAGCCTGGCCAACATGGTAAAACCCCATCTCTACTAAAAATACAAAAATTAGCTAGGTGTGGTGGTGAGCACCTGTAATCCAAGCTATTCAGCAAGAGGCTGAGGCAGGAGAATTGCTTGAACCCAGCAGGCGGAGGTCGCAGTGAGCCCAGATCGTACCATTGCACTCCAGCCTGGGGGACAAGAGGGAAAATCCATCTCAAAAAAAAAAAAAAAAGATGGAGGAAGATGTCACAAATCAAAGAACATGGGTAGCTTCTGAAAGCTGAAAGTGGCAAAGAGTGGATTGTCCTCTAAAGCCTTTAAAAAGGAATGCAGCCCTGTTGATACCTTGTTTTTAGCCTGATGACACCTGTGTTGGACTTTTGACCTACATAACTGTAATATAATAAATTTATGTTGTTTCAAGCCACTGAGTTTGTGAGCTTCTGTTCAGACAGTCCCAGGAAGCTAATATAGGTGGTCAGCTTGGAAAGGTTTCATAGAAGAGGTAAATTTTGGTGAACTTTTGAAGGGACATTATTGGTGGAAAAAAAGATGGGGAGATAGATGTTGGAATTCGAGTCCATCAGATTTTTTTTTTTTTTAACATTTCAAGGATGTGTGATTGCTACCTAGAATATTTATAAGCCAAAGCTAGAGGAATAAAACAGTATTATGTAATTGTTGCTAAATTCCCCCAGTGAAGTCAGAGGCAAGGCATTCTCAAGAATTTTTCTCAGTAACGTTACTTGAATCATGCGCAACTTCACAGATTTAAAGGCTGACAAAACACTTGCTTTACCTGGTTGGTTTTAAATTACTTAAGTCAGTACAGAAAGCAGACAGAATCTACAGCTTCCACATAGCCCACCCCTGAATGTCACCTGGAACTTAACATTCTTATCACTCTCCTTTAATCAGGTCTGTGGACCCTGATGATTTGTTTTCATTGGATCCTTTTGAATAAAAAATAATTGGGTCATGAGACACACACCTACACACAGACAGGAAAACAGACACACATTGAGACAGGAGAGACAGAGAGCACAAGAAAACTCTTCCATATGTACCTTTATTCATTAAAACATAGTTATCGAGGACCTATCTATAATATGAACATATGTCATGTTAGGGATCCATCGGTGAATGAGACAGGCAAGGTCCCTGTCTTTACAGAGCTCACAGCCTGGTGGAGGACACAGACAAATAATCATGCAATTTATAGCAGAGTGGAAAATGTAAGTTGCTGTGAGGGAACACAGAAGGGCAACCAAGTCAGTCTGGGGATGGGAAGGGAAAAGTGTGTCGGGATGCTTTCTGGAGAAAGAGAACTACACCACTCACTCTCGAAGTGTGGTTTTTGGATCAGCAGCATCAGTGAACCTGGAGGACTGAATACGTGAACATTCTCAGGCCCATTAAGCCACACCTATTAGGGCTAAAATTCTAAGGATGTGGCACAGAAATCTGTGTTTTATCAAGCCCTCTACGTGATATAGATGCATGCTAAAGATCATTGAGAACCAGGGTACCACACCTGGACTACCTATCAGAATCGCTTGGGTCACTTTCCACAGAAATGCTGTGGCTCAGTGCCCAGAGACACTAATTTAATTGGATAAAGCCCTGGTATCAGTCCTTTTTCAAGTCTCGGGTGATTATGATGCGATTTTACTGTGCAGTCAGGGTTGAGGCTATTTCTCTACAACAGCTGAAGCTGGGGACTGGATCAAGGGCTAGAAGGATCTTACCGGTGGTGTGCAAAAGCCCAGAGGTCAGAGAAAGCCTGATGTAGTGTGTTTGGGGACTGGATAAGGCTGCATTTAACAAAACGCCGTGATTTAAAATAAGTCAAAATAAAACTTGTAGATAGAAGTTCAAGTGTTCATTGTAGTACTTCTTAAACTTTAACACGTTTAGAAATCACCTGAGTCTCATAGAAACACAGACTCTTATTTGGTAAGTAGGAGCAGGTGATTTCTATGCATTTCTATAGACTCAGCGATGCTGATGCTGCTGGTCTGCAGAAGGCATCTTATTTTAGCAAGGTTTTATTGCCCCAGCTTTCCCTGAGCGTTCAAGTCAGTGGGTGGGAACCGCAGAAGGATGTATCTACGCATTAGTCCCAGGACTGACATAAGGGCACCTAGTTGGGGTGAACTGCGGATGCCCATTGCTGTGTATGTGTTCTTGGTAGGGAGGAAAGATGCAGCCTAGCCCAACTGCCTAGCTTTCTCTTCTGATTATTATCCATCAAGGTCGTACTGCTTTTAGCTCGGCAGTAACTCCCTCTCTTTCCCTCCCCGCCCCTCCCACGCCAATCTAACTGAGTGCCTCCCCTGGCCAGGCCAGCAGACCAGCTCATTAAGTGACCCCTGGAGCGCTCCGTAACGCGCCAGCCAGCCAGGGAGGCGCTGGGCGAGGCGGGGGCTCTCCTGGGACCTGTCTCTCTCTTCCCTCGCTGACCGCGGCCGTGCCTGCGGCAGAGCCTCCCTCTGCAGCAGCCCCTTGCACTTGGCTCGCACTTCTGGGCGCTGTCCATGGTTGCAGCAGCTTTCGGCGCACCACGTCAGGAGGCCGCAGCAGGGCCCTGCGATTGGCGGAGGAGCCCCTCGCCATACCCTTCCACCTCCGCCTACACGCCCCGGCCCCGAGGCGCGTGCCAGAGAGCGTGCCGGGCGCGCCCGAGGCTCCCGGGCGGCACACCCACTTTCCTTATTAGGGCAGAGTCGGGTGCCCTGAGCGAGCGAGCGGGGGCCGGGCGAGGGGTGGGGCGGAGAGCCCTGGGGCGAGACGGCGGAGGGCGCAAGCACGACCTCAGCCGCAGCCGCCTCCGAGCGGCAGGAGGGAGCAGTCGGTGGCTGCGCCCCGGCGGGCCACTTTCTCGGGACCCCGCTGCTTTTCCTTAGGCCGAGATTTTCCACTGCGCCCTTCCACGTACCCCGGTTCCAAACCCCTGGCCACGACATGGAAGAATTTTTGCAACGCGCCAAATCTAAACTGGTAAGTTGAGTGAGCAAAGCTGTGCGTGTGTGTGTCTGTGCTGATGGAAAGGTGGAGAGAAAAAGGTGTTGCAACAGAGTAGGACGAAACAACTACTTTGCCATGGAGTTGTCAGAGTGAGCGGGCTGTCCCCTGGAAGGAATCTCTGGAACTCTGGCTCTTAAAGCTGGCAATCTGTCTGCAGAGGTGCACAGTTGGAGGAGGTTGTGGCCTGGCTGAAGTTGGGTATCCAGCTTGTATCCAGCTTTGGTCCCTAAATCAGCAGTTTCCTCCTGAAAGCTAGATAAATGAGTGTTGTCTTCCTTGAGATAAAGGGCCCAGCCTTCTGCAGATGCATTTTGTGTAGGTGTAAAAGGAAAAAAAGAGACCCTTAGGACTGTAGTTCAGCTGGAGGTGACAAAAGTGGGGAAGTCAGGGTGCTGGGTAGGAAGGACATGTTCGTTGGAGAATCCACAGAAGATTGCTTGCTCGACTGCAGGAGTTAGGGGTATTCTAGTGTGTATTGTGTCTCGCTAATCCCCGTTCACATCTGTAAATTGGGGCAGAGGCACAAGGGGAAAGCTCTAAATGTTGGTTTTCTGGGGTTTACCAGACCATCATTCTCCCGGGAGCAGACCTGTGTGTTAGCCCATGTTTACCATATCACTTGTCCAACAGTGAATGGGCAATTCCATGTGTAGGTTAACAGTTGCTAGATTATGGAACAGCAGACTCTAGCAGTTTCTTAATTCTAAACTGTTTTGGCTCTCCAGCACAACAGTATTAAACATAATGGAAATGTGTCTGTTTTGGCACTTAAAAAGAAAAGAAGGCTGTAGTCATTTAGAAGCAATATCGTTAATGAACTGTAAAAGCAACTTTTACAGGCCTGGCATAGAAAGAAATGCATAATTTATGATGCCTTTAACCTTTAGGCCTTCATAGAAGCCAAAATATAAAGTCTGCATTAAGGTGATGTTTTAATCACAAGGCAGGATATTTACAGGGTTATTACTGTAACTCATCTACCCTCGCACAACAAAGGGAGTGCAGAAAGGGAGGGCCCAAAAGTGCCGAAACCACCATTCAGAGTGCAGACGGAAGTGCAGTCCTTACAGTGATCTGCAAGTATCTTGAAAAAGACCATTAAAGCTGGTAAGTACTTATATGGGAACTTTCCACCTGAAACCTCCCAGAGAGTTGAACCTTTGTGGAGATTTCAGAGTTGAGGAATCTCTGTGTTTATTGACCCTTTTATAGTTTTACTAGAGCACATGGATGAAAATGCTTATTTCAGAAACTCTACTGTTTGGCATTTCTGATAGTATGAGCATGTTCTGTTCTTTACCGAGTAATGAAAGAGAAATGTTCAAGAATGAAAGTTTTGGCAACTCTGTGTGTGTGTGTGTGTGCGCGCGCGCGCGCGTGTGTTTGTGTGTAAATATGATAAGGACAAATGCAGAGTTCTGGACTGTATCTGTTTTTTACTCCCATAACATTTATCAATATTTTAATAATCATTTAGACTGTGGGTTCTGAGATGAGCCAGAGATTTGTCTCATTTCTGTGGAGCAGTTGCTGGTATGGAAATTTTCCTATTTCAGAGTAATCGGTTGAAAGTAATCTGTAATTTATTTACCGAGTCCCTTCATTAGACGAGCAATTGCTCTACATCATTAAAAAATGGACAGGAAATAGAAGCGGTTGTTTGAAATATTGTTATCAGTTTCATGTCTCAGCCAGAACAATTAATGCTTATTTTATCTTTTCTTGGGATAAGCTTCTTGCAAGAAATCATGATTAACCCTTCGTATCCAGCCACAGCAAAGGTGTTATGGTCACTTTTAGTGTCACATTTCTCCTGATAAGTTACATTTTCTAGGTAACAAAATTTTTACTTAATATGTCACACTCAAATGTAGTAGATAACCTTCTTTAGAGGATAGATAACCTTTTTCTTGGGGAAAAAAATTAAGTCAATGTCATTCACTTGTGGGAAATTTATTTATAATCAAATGGTAAGATTTAAAAAATTTCAGCCAATCCTTTGGAAAACATTTTAATGTGAAGAAATTTATCATGCTGATTTTTACTTAAGCCTTATTAGAACAGAATTAGAATTTAGGAGCTATGTTTTAAATGTTTTTCTTTAAAAGTTAATAGAGATTTAGCTATGTAATACCTTAAGAAAGAAAAAAAAAGCCTGTTAGCTTTTTTCCTATTTGACTTAATTGCTTTGATATTATGTAGGCGTTATATATTGTTTTTAATGGTTTGAAATAGTTAAATGACTCTTCCAAAGTCCTAATGTAACCTCATCATCATTGGGGCTAGCTAATTCCAGTAGGCAAAAAAGGAACTTGCAAAATGGAATTGCTATTAGCTGTAGATGCAGTCTCCAATAATCAAAATGTTGGAGAAATTGTGTGCTTTTTTTCTGACTCGGAACATTTATTATTCATCTGTCATTGTAAGGAGAGAGGAAACTCTGCTATTCTAGGCCAGGCCCCTAGGTTGAACAGAAGTCTTTGAAGGAAAAAGGATGGTTTGAATTTTTATCAGGTAGTTTGGAGCTTATTTCAACTGAAGTTGGGGGATCACTCTCAATTCTATTTTTCAGCCCAGTCTGGTCCTACTAGTCTTCAAGATGAGGCCGATTCACTGACATAATCCCATCCTCCTTTTCTCTAAATCTGCCTTTCCAATACCTTTTCTTCCCTCCTGAGAATACTTAGTATTTATCAGAAATGGCCAAAGTAAACTCCAGGTGTGGCTTCAGAGGGTTCCCTTCTCCTGGGGCTCAAAAGCTTCTCAAGTGGGCCTGCTTTCTGCCTGGTTAGGACAGGCTAGGTGCTGGAGAATATTTGTGAAAAACTTGTTTGGAGGTAGGGAACAGCTAGGGTGGTAATTACTTCTTCTAAGCAGTCTCTGGAAATGATCCCGTCTAGACAAACAAGAAATGACACATATGGAATTGACACAAGGATTGTTAAAGCAATAATAACAGTAGGATAAGCAATCTCAGAGCAAGCCCTCCAAGACTGAGATAATAATCAAAGAGCAGTGTTTTCTAGCTGGAATTACTTCCTGGATGTGAGAACCCAGCCATGTTTTCGGTCTGGATACTTACTCCTGGAACTAGAAATGAGAGTGCAAAATGTATTTTGTTTTTTCTCCTGCCTATTCAGAGTTGCAGAAATCAAACCCTATAGTTCCAGATCAGTCTTTAAGTTTTACTCAGGCGTTCTATTCTTAGTTACATCATTTCTATGCTAAGAGAAGTTGAAGGAGTGTAGGGAATGCAGGCTCCCTGGTCTATGCTGTGATTTGGGAAATGTCCTTCACCTTCATAGTGGTCAGCTCAGAAAAGTATTCAGGACAAGGACGGTCTCATAACAGTAAATAGCCCAAGGTCCCGTGAAGTTTGGGGGGAAAAAATGAAGTAAGTGAGGAATCGTTTGGGGGATGGGTAGAGAGTTCTGGGGCTCTGGCTGGTTGGAAACCAGGCTCCCCACACTGGGCCCCTGCTGCTGAACTTCCCCCACTACCAGACACCCTCAGCTGATTCAACTCAAGCAGCTGTTAATGGGTGGAGATCACTGCAACCCACACGCCCTGTGGTGTAGGTCAGGAGCCAGCCTCGAGTAGAGTAGGGGGTGGGGATGTTGTCAGCTGTCACCAGCAGGATACAGGGCACATCAGGATACAGGGCATACCAATGTCCCAGGAATGCTGTTTTCAACAAGAAGGTGGAGAGAGCCACTACTGAGGTCTAGGGGATGCATCTGCTACGTGAGCAGCGGCAGCTGCGGAGGAAGGGCTCATTTCTGTAGTCAGTATTAGTTGATACATAGACTTCTACAGAAGAAAAGTTCTGGGTGACTAGAATGTCGGTTCACACTCTGTGGTATGTGGCATAGGGACAAGAAAGCACATTCCAGACTCTAAATGAACCACTGCATTAGAGTGGTTACAGGAGATGGGGTTTTAAAAAAGAAATAAAAAGACTGCAGCATGTCGGCAGCATAATCAACTTGATTGGAAATTGAAGGAATATATTCTTGATTTCCTCTTGCATGGGAAGAAGGTTGTATATGTCAATAAAAAGGATATTTAGAGTGAATGCTTCATGCCTGTTAAAGGGCAGCTGTGGTAAGGACTAGTAATGATGAAGAAGCTGGCAGAGCTGTTTGATTTCAGGAGCTGAGCTCCTTCTGATCAGAGACCAAAGGATCAGCTCCTGCCCCATTGCAAACGAGGGCAGGTGCTCTTGAGACCATGCCTCTTGCCAGAGCGTTCATGAGCAGGAAACTCAGGAATCCAAAGCACTTCCCTGAATGTGGTATCCCCTGCTTAGAGGCTGATAAGAAGTGAAACCTTGATTACTTTGGTCCTGGAGTTAGCTTCATTTCTCATTGCCGGATCATTCAGATGAACAGCTGCTGCCTGTCCCAGTCCTGGGACCTTCCGAGAAGAACCACAGTTTTTTAGTGTAAACAGATCTTGGAGTGGATCAGTCGGTCTCAAAGGAAGAAGGGTGCTCCCTGTCATTCAAACAGTACCTTGAGTCTTGGAAGACGTGGGATCAGGTGAGCAAGGTTACCCTTTAGGCAGTGATTTGGGAACTATTTTGTCAACTGAGTCGAAAGCTGATGGCTTTAGTATAACCTGTTTGTTTCTATGTAACATTTATTTGGGCAGATATTAGCATCATTCTGAGTTTGGTAAACTGGTCTGGGGGGCTCCTGTAATCAATGGTAGTTCGGTGATGGAGGCATTATTCCTCCAGGGAGAGGCAAAAGGAATCTACCCCTTCATGAATGTTACCTGAGCAGTCAGAAGAATGAGGGCAGAATACTTGGGTCTGGATAAAGGCTGCAAAAGAGGAAAGAACATCAGGGACGAGAGAGAGAGCATGCAATGTTTGTTACTAATTTTTTGGAACCTTGGGTATTATATAGAAGAGTCCTGGAGTTTGAAGTCTTCTTTGAAAGGAAACTGGGGCGGGCGGATGTATTCAG